CAGAGGTCCCTGGTTCGGATCCCACATATGAGGGCCAGTGACACTGCCCTCTACAGCTAAGATGCTGAACAACAGCTCAACCTGGAGCTGGGCTCCCAGGAGTCACTGGTGACGGCAGGTGGGTTGCCATGGGCTGTAGCCAGCAGCCAGCGTGAGCGGCCAGCACCACTGTGAGCAGCCGTCCAGAAGCCGGCAACTGATCTGCCTCACCTGGGAAGAGTGCAATGATGGTGCCAACTTGGGCCACTGAATCAACGTCCTCCACAACTAGACTGAAGAACAAAAGGATAGCAACTTGTCTTTTCCCCTTCCCCCAATTCCCCAATAAAAATCTTTAAAAAAAGTCTGCAGAAAAAATTATAGTACTCGATGCAGACTCTGGGAAGTAATAAAGGTAAATAAACCAGAAACTGAAATACCAGCAAGCGTTGTGTAATTTTAATTATTTCCTCAAAAAAAATATTTTTTCCTCAAAAAAAAACCTTTTAAAGGTAGTTGATGGATAAAGATATTCACATCAATGATACAATAAACTATAATCTTAATTTATGTTGAGTTTGAAATTACTTCTCCAAGTTTAATATCTTTTGCTGGGCTTTTGCAAACTGAAAATTAATTACAACCATGAAAATTAAAATATAAGCATCAAACACATGTAGTTTTCTTTTTTTTTTTCACATGTAATTTTCTGTGAGAATAGTTACATGAGAGCTGTCCTGTAGAGGTAATCTGAAGTCCTCTATGAGTGCTTCCATGACTACCTAGTAACTGGCAGACAGGCAGGCAGAGTGCCAGCAATCAATAAACTATGAAAATGCATAAAAAAAATAGAATCATTGGACAGCTCAACTTATATGATCAGTTTTCATTAAGAAAATATGCTTACGTGACAGAAGTGAATTCCCTTAACACTGTTGCCCATCTTGTCCAGAGGGGGAGACCAGCACATCATGCCCATGACATTGGGGACTACTAAGAGAATGCCCCCAGCAACTCCAGATTTTGCAGGAAGACCAACCTGAATATAATGTGAAAAAGGGGACATTTATTTTAACATTTTAAAATAAGAAAAATTATGTCTAACAATAAAGTAATTGGTTAAAAAATTATGGCATATATCTATACAAAATTCCAACATTAAAAAAAGTTGTAAGTATTTATCAACAAAGTTATAATACAGCAAATGAAAAAGTTATAAAACAGATGGAATATATTGAAGTATAAAAAAAGTTTTGAAACATATATTGTAAGGAATTACAATAGAACATATCTAAATCATGGGGCTATGTTTTTATTTTATTCTTTTTGACTATTTTTCTAATTGTTCTGTAATAAATGTGTATTACTTCTAAATATAAAAAGTTATTTTCAAAAATATTTTATGACTAGAAAACAATGAGAAATTATATCTTCTTAATAGATTCTTTGTGGTATGCTATCAGAGAAATTCTGAGAAATAGCAGTAAGATGGTAATTCAAATTAATCATCCTCAAAACACTTATTTACGTTATGCAAAACTTGACAATTATGATAAAAAACAAAATTAATATAATCAGAGGGGTGTTCATTAGTGGCTTACTACATTCAGACATTGAGTACCTCTTGCTAGAAGTAATTTTGCACAAAACTAAGCAAAACAAACAAATCACCTGGAATGGGATCTACCAATTTACAGGGATTACAAAGGACAGTGGAAAGCATATGCAAAATCTACACTGTGAGAAATGGTATAGAATAAGTGACCCAGTTTTTTCAAACAAAAATAAGAAAAAAAAAGAGAGATCGGGCCGGCCAAGTGGTGCGTTCGTTAAGAGCTGGCTTGGGATGCCAGCTCTGAACAGCAGAGCCCTGGTTCAGATCTCACATGGGGCCAGTGACACTACCCTCTACACCTAAGATGATGAATAACAGCTCAACCTGGAACTGGGCTGCCATAAGCTACTGTGAGCGGCTGGCAGCTGGTGTGAGCTGCCAAGAGCCACCGTGAGCGGCTGTCCAGAGGCCAGCGACCGATCTGCCTCACCCAGAAAGAGTGCAATGATAATACCAACATGGGCCAGTGAAGCGACGTCCTCCACAACTAGACTGAAGAACAGCAACAACAAAAAAAATGATAGCAACTTGTCTGTTCCCCTTTCCCCGATTCCCCAGCGCTGTTCCCCTCCCCCAATTCCCCAATAAAACCTTAAAAAAAAAAAGAGAGATCAAGGGAGGAAACTGCAGATTAAAGAAGAAAATAAAGGGAGATACAACCAATCATAATGTATGGCCCTTATCTGCATCCCAAGTCAAACAAACTGTAGGATAATAATTTATAAGACAATCCAGAAAATCTGCACATTGACTAAATAATTTTGTTGATATTAAAGAATAAAATTTTTTGTTTTTTTATATGTAATAACAGTGCTGTGTGTTTCAGGGCCCCTATCATTTAGAATTGGACTGAACTATGACAAGGGTGGGGAAAGTAGGTGTACATACAGAGGAAACAAGATTGATCATGTATTAGTGATGCATAACATTAAATGCTTCTTTATTTTTTCTATTTTTAAAAAAATTTCAAAAAAAAAATTTTTAGGGCATTTGCTTGACATGAGCAGAACGAAACAAAAAAAAAGCCTAGGGCCGGCCGAATGGCTCAGTTGTTTAAGAATTTGCTCAAGAGTGTGAGCTCTGAGCAACAGCGGTTCGAGTCCCGGCCTGAGCTGAGCAGCTGCTGAGCTGCCAACAGGTAGCAGGATGGCTCAGCTAAAAAAAAAAAAAAAAAAAAATTCTACACATTTCACAAATGGCAAATGCACAACAGAGCATAAAGCTGTATATTTTTAAATTTTAACATTAAAACATCTATGGCTATAACCCAAAACGTTAAACATCACAATTATTCACTCTTTCTGAACTTAGGGAATTCTTGAGGTATGCTCTATAAAGCTCAACATTTAACAAGTAAAAGTAAAGAATGTACACTGAAATACCTTAAAAGTAGAAGTGATGAGGTTCTATAAATAAAACATCAAGTTCTTAACATAAGAACATCTGGTGGACTGTTTAACCCTATTCCTTACCAATTCTGTAACAAATTAACCTTGGAAACAAGCCTTTCTTTCTCAAAAATTAATGTACAGCTTTAGAAGCAAAGTTCAAACTGCACTTTTGAAAGAACTAGTCCAGACTAGTTTCTTGCCAGAGAAAACTAAGATTAAACAATTACTTACATGGAAAGCAAACTGCCCTGAGAAATCGTACATGCCACAGGAATGCATCAAACTCAGTGTATTTCGTACTGCTTCAGGGCTCAGTACTCTTTCACCAGTAATTGGGCAGAAACCACCATTAGCCAGTGTTGCAGCCATCACACTGGCTGATTCACAAGTGACTTCAATGGAGCATAGCTAAAAGAAGCAAAAACTGAATTCTGAACATTTAGGCTCACATTATTTTTAGTATTACAATTAACTTCTAAAAGATAGTCTATTTTATTTGGTATTTCATACAGATCTGAAATCTTTCTTCCAAAGGGATTATTTTAATATAACTTGATGACATTCTAAAGATTTCAATTTAAACAAAGTTCTAGCCCCTTTAAAGTTCATCCTGATTTGCCCAGTTATTCAGTCTTTTAATGGCAGAACTTGGATAAGAAAGAGTCAGGTTCTAAGCACTAAGATTTGTAATTGTTATTACATGTGATGTTCACAGTTGATTAAATATTAATGCTTTTTGTAGGATACACAGGCATAATTATTTACAACTCAACAGGGAAAAAGGAGCCATGATATATTTTTAAGATAAAGCAACACACATCAGTATTATGATAGATGGCATCTACGTGAGAAATTGCCACTTTAGAAAAAAATGCTAATTGCCTGACATTTCATCTACAACAAAGTTCAAGTTCAGCATCCCCAGATGGTCACCCAAAGGACTGAGGAAAGAAAAATCTAAGACAGCTCTAGCTTGGATGCTCTGTGTGCCTAAAGCAAAATGTTACCTTTTAAACCATTTAATAACATTTCAAATGTTTATTTGATATTGACTATGAGTGCTGGATATACTATGATGAATAAAAAAAAAGCAAAGTCCAGGTACAATGCAGAATGACATTTTTGTATTTAAATATAATCATACTAATGGAAATAGTTTACTGCCCCATATGCAAATTTATCCATAAAACCGTAACAATAAATATGGTCTATTTTATTTTTCATTAACAGCAACCAAAACGGGGGGAAAAGTGGAGGCGAAAGAGAAGGTGGGAAAGGGGAAGAGGAAGAAAAGCTCTCAACTTATAAACTTTCCTCACTCATACTGTAAGGTCTACATACAAGAGGCATAAAGAGGTTTGAAGACAGCAAGAAGGAAACCAGCTACAGTGAATCAGAAAACTGGGAGCCACTTTTTGACTGACTTTCACATTGCCTATTTGTATTAAAACCTCTTCTCAATTTCCACAAAACTACAGAATCTACTTACTATGTTGACCCAGATAGCAAAGACTTATAGAGAGTTGATTTAATCATGAAAAGCTTTCTAAAAGAAATGATTTAAAATCCAATGATCGTTTCCTAATTTATGCTTAGTATTAACTGGAATTTTGTTTGTCATAAAGCGATATACTCCTAATTTGACGAATCCCAGTTTAACAGTACTTTTCTGATGCCCTGATGAATGCTCAATTATATGCAACACAAAAAAGTAGGGAAGGCTTCTATGACTAACTCTTGATTTTTGCACCGAAGTGTAGAAATTTCACAGATTTAGTTGCACCTAAGCTATAATAGCTGAAGTTAAATATGTATACCAAAGGAAAACAAATGGAACAAAGTCATATGGGCTAGGGGAAAAAAAAGGGCTCCTGGATAAAAGTATGACACTATATTTGATATACTAGTTTTTTAGTTTCAAATAAATTTCACACAAATCATCCCATGTCATCTTCCACGTAATGCAGAAAGTTTGGTCAAGCATATGCTACAGAAAATGAAACTGGGGCTCAGTAACTGAAATTAGGTCACATGGCTAAAAGTGGCTGGGTTAGACCTTGTTTTCCTATACTGACAGTCTGGATTTCCAATTTATAGTTCTTCACAGTGGGCAGGTGACAAACTGTGACCTGCACTTCTATCAAAACCTACTTTCTAACAACTTCCCTTATATATTCCTTAAGATTACTGAAAAGTTGAAGTACCTGCAAAAGTAACAAGAGGTAAATGGAGGGTAAACTAGAAATTAATAATTTGTTACTATATAGCTTCACATTATAGACCCATCAGAGGTACTAATGGTATTAAATCTGTAAGAATAAACTGAACTGGAAGTATGGGGGGAGGAGAAAGATGTCCAGGAAGACTAACTTGAGTTCTATCCCACAGCAGATTATGAGTGGGCCCCCTCCTTCAGGAATATGGAGAGAGTTGGAGTTTAATACTCTAACTTCGAAGAAAGCCCACTGTGTGACACTGCAGAAATGAACTAACAAGCTGAGAAACTGCCACTTTAAAATACTGAGTATGAATCCTCTGATAAACAACTCCTCCAAACAAAATTTAAAAGCTAAGAAAACAGAATTCAGCTTATAATAAGGGGAAGCCAATTTCTGGAACTATACATTATTTTTGATACTTCTTAAATGTTTTTACAGAAAAAAATTTTCCCTATTACATTCTGAATTGTGACTTTCTAGGAAATACAGACACGAGGCTGTCTTTCATAAGCACTTTTTTTTGAAAGTTAAAGGGAAATATATTCTTTCCCTAGAGCCAAGATTTTAGAGATATCTATGTTCTGCAAAATGTGACACATCCTTTTATATACACAATTCATACATTTAAAGTAAATTACCTGAAAATAGAAGTCTAATATACCAACCATGTCTGTGCCTTCTGGAAAACACTGAAAAAATACAAAGCTAATTAAAAACATAGGAACACAAGAAAAAAAATATATGCACATAGGTAAAAGTTACATGATTAAATTTAAAATGTACATAAATGTTTCATTTTAATTGAGAACAAAATAGCACATAACCTATAAAAGCGTATAAACATGAAATAATGAAGAACAATAAAGCAAAATTACATCACATATAGATTTCTAGATAGTAGTTTAACTGACAAAAATAGACTGATTCATAATTCATTAACCAAGTTAATGGACCAGCCACTTAAAATTTTAAAAAATCAAGTGTAATCAACAATAATCAGACATTCTACTTTTGAGTAAATGGGTGAATCCTTAAGCAAAATTTGCACTAATGTAACTAGTCAAATATTTGAATACTGCCAGATACAAATCAATTTAATAATATTAACACTGATAGCATTAACTCGAGTGTTTTGCAAGAACTTCTGCACCTTAAACAGTAATAGATGTTGCTTAAAAGCTATTGTTGAGTTTTTAGCATGCATCTTCATGTATTTTAATGAGGATAATTTGAAATAAAAAAAATTTAAAAACCTTTTTTTCTTTTAAGTAATATCCTATTGCAAAATTTCGATCTCCACTTTCTCTTTCAGACTGAAACCTAGAAGAAAAAAAAAATTATTTTTTTCTGTAAAAGTATGGTTGTTCTATAGTTTAATTTGTATATCAAAGTGCAGTATAAAAAACACTGACACAATAGTCAAGGCTGCCATGTTCCAGTTCCAGTCCCAGTTCCACCAATAGGTTTGCTAACTATGTGACCTTGGGCAAGTCATTTAAGTGACATTCTTTCACTGCAATTTCTTTAGCTATATTGTGAATAAAGAAGCTAATTTTTAATTTACCAAATACTCCATCATTAAAATATACTAAAAAATTGCAGAATCTTCTGGCTCCTTCGAAAGTACAATAAATAGTCAATTCCAACTGAGGGAATCCACGGAAATGTCACTGGGGGACGCATGCAATGGGCCTTACAGCGTTCACTGGATTAACAGATTTCAGAGGGAAGCCCAGGCAACGGCAAATATCACGCAGCATGAACAAGTTATTAAAGCATAAAAGACAGGATTTCACTGAAGAATAGCAAATATTCGGATGTAACTGGGAAATGTGATTCATGTAGAAGAATGGCGAAACATCAAACTAACAAAGGAGACTGGGACCAAATTACCAAGACTGATAAATACTAAAAAATGTAACAGCTCCTAATTGCCTTCAAAATTAAAGCTTGAAGGCTTTCAAACAAGTTACCTTGTCAGATCTACAATTTAGAAAGAGCTCTGACATCAGTTTGGGAAAGGAGAAAAAGGAAGCATGAGTGATGTTATTAAGCGACTACTGTAATGAGAGATACAGGAAGCCTGAATTTAGGTAGTGGTGATAGGAATGGAAGGTGAAGTATAATCACACATGATGGGAAAGAAAAGAAACTGTGAAGTCTGTTAACAAAGCCCAGATTTCTAACAAAGTCTAAAGAAAGAATGGTGATACCAACTGACATGGGAATCCCTGGAGCAAAGAGCAGTTTGGGAATAAAGAGAATGAGTTCTGATTTAGATGAATTTAATTTCACAAATTTGGATATATATTTGAAAGCTCAACCTACAAGTGTCCAGAAAGCTGCTGAGAAAAAAAAAAATGGAACTGTGGGTGACACTCGTTGTATTATTGAACAGCCCCTTCAAACTGTGCATTTTAACATTTCCATGGTCCGAAAAATGATGTTGGATATGGAAAAGTTGTTGGAAATTAACATGTCAACTTGCCATGCTTTTTAAAAAAACATCAACATGTATAGATAAAGGACTAATTGAGCAATTAGCAGTGCCTAGCACGTAGTTTTCTGTTCATCAAACACTATTATCAAGAGCCTAATATTGCCAGATAACAGGAATACAGAAATGAATTCTTCTGGAAGACATTCTATCCAGGTCCTAAGCAGGTCAGTCTTATGGTGATGATGGGACACAGAGAGATATAGAATAAGTTCAATAAAATATGGTAATGTGAGAGCACAGAAGAGGGGCAAGATGAGATTAACGAAAAACTTCCCCTGGGAAAAATACTTAAGCTGATGAATAAAAGTTGGTAAAGCAGACAACGTAAAAATTTTGCCCTCTGAAACATGAAGTATAAAGCATCGCATAGTTAGTATTCATGCCAAAACTGTTTAAGCCTTATCTAATCACAAGGAAACAACCAGACCTAGTCAAAATAGGGAATATCCACTACAGCCCATGGACCAGATCCAACCTGCTGCTTGTTTTATAAATAAGGTTTTTAGAACACAGCCTCATATTGTGTATGGCTATGTTCCTATTAAAACAGTAGAACTGAGTAGTTGTAACAGAGACTACAAGTCTAAAATATTTACTATCTGGTCCTTCACAGAAAAAGTTCGTTAATTCCTGCTCTATAAAACAACTAGCTGGAGCTCTTCAAAAAAAGCCATTTAATAAAATTTTAAAAAGCAAGGGTCTAGGGCAGGGGGACTTTTATTTTTAAAAGACAAAGGAGACATAACAAATAGAATGCATGAACTTGGATTAGCTACTGGCTGGGGGAGGCCATAAAAGGCATTTAGGGAACAGTTGGGGACATTTACATATTGATTAATAAATATCATGGTATTTTAAAATTAATGTTAATGTTCCTAAGAGTGTTGATGGTATTGTGGATATGTAGGATCTAGCCTTTATTCTTAGGATACATATGCTGAGTTATTTAAGAGTGAACTATCATGAAGTCTATGACTTAATTTCAAACAGTTCAGGAAAAAAACCACCCACATACATGTATATTTACACATATGGACATATATACGTAGATACACACATATATTTTAACTTATCTGAAGAGAGGGGTTAAGAAAAAGCAAATGAGACAAAACAGTAATCAGAAAAATAAGTGAAAAATATCCAGATATCCACTGTTTATTCTTTCAACTTTTATATAGACTTGCAAATACCAAAATAAATAATTAGGGTAAAAATCAAGTTAGCCAAGCACAGAGAGATTAAGAGAGGTAAGACAAGTATTACAGACAGAAAATTAAGTGCCAGTTATTTGAGATAAACTTGGGGTCCCTTCTAATTCTATGATTACCCTAAGTTTATTAAAACCACTTAAAGTATTTTAAGTGTTCCCCCTCTAAGTTAATTTAGAAATCAATCTTTTTCCTCTGATGACCAAATTTTAAATAATTATTTATTCACTGAATTAAGTCCTAGGACTAACAAGGGAGAATAGATTAATTCTAATGTGTGCATACATATATGGAGTAACAAAAGGGGATTTAAAATAAAATTTTATAATCTAGATTTTTAAAAATTAATTTAAAAAGGCTAGACTCATTATAAAAAATCTAAGTCATAAATCAGACTCACGTTGCATTACTGAATCCAACATATTCATTACCAGCCATCTTATTCAAAAACTGCATCACCTATAAACCAAAATTAAAAAGTAAAGTATCAGTATCAAAAAAATATATATATAAAGATTGTAGCATGGGCCGGCCGAGTAGCGCATTGGTTAAGAGCTGGCTTGGGATGCCAGCTATGAGCAGCAGGAACAGGGTTCGGATCCCACATGAGGGCCAGTGACACTGCCCTCTACAGCTAAAATGGTGAACAACAGCTTGACCTGGAGCTGGGCTGCCTTGAGTCCCTGGCGACGGAGTAGGCTGTAGCCCCTGCTGCAGTGGGTTGCCATAAGCTACTGTGTGTGGCCGGCAGTCAGCGTGAGCGGCCGGCAGCTGGTGTGAGCTGCCAGGAGCTGCCATGAGCAGCAGTCCAGAGGCTGGCGACCAATCTGCCTCACCTGGGAAGAGCGCAATGATAATACCAACATGGGCCAGTGAAGCGACGTCCTCCACAACTACACTGAAGAACAAAAGGACAGCAACTTGTCTGTTCCCCTTCCCCTGAATCCCCAGCGCTGTTCCCCTCCCCCAACTCCCCAATAAAATCTTAAAAAAAAAAAAGAATGTAGGATGAAAACTTAATTCTATATTGTACTTACATAGTCAAATTTTTCTGCATTATTCACTCCTTGCTGCAAAGAAATAAGACATAAATATGTTAATGTAGACACCCCTGCAGTTAAGTTTTAAGTGAATATAATATCAGAATTTCAAAGTGCCATCATTATAATTAATATACTGTGCATTAGTACTTTTAAGTCTAGGAAATATTTCTAAAGTAATTTAATATTTACATAAATAAACTACATACATGTTCTTTCATTAATACCCATATGTTGAGAATGGATCTGAATTACAAAGGGAATGCTTTATTTTAAGTATATCTTTACTCAACCCAAGTTACAAAATTTTAAATACAAGTTACCCCAAACCCCCTTATCCTTCATGAAAACAGATATCTGCCAGAATGTATATTTAATTTTATATTTTAAAAAAACTTAAAATAAAGTTTCACCCTTAAAAAAAAATGAAGTAAAGTTTTTAATCACTAACATTTACTTATATTTTCAAAATAACCCTAAACCAGTATTAGTTAAAAAAAATAAGTTATGCTGCAAAACTAATCTTTTATAATTCTAGTATATGCAAACATTCTGGATAGATTATACTAGTGTAGAGAAAGCTCTACTTTTAATATCTCACTTGTTAGTAACAAAACTTGAACTAATAAATATATATTTCAGAATCTCTAAAAATTAGCTACATTTGTGTTTAGCATTATGCCAATTGAGAATATGGAAGATGTATTGTTTCATCACTTCTATTTCTGACATGTTAGCTTCTGCAAATGTCAATAGGAAAAACCTATGCAATGTAGATCAGTTCAAGTAGCCAAATGGTTTCATTTTACCTCAGCGAAGTTTACAAAGCAGTAAGTTGTAGATCTGAAATCAAACGTATTAATTGGTGATATGCACCCAAGAGAAACAATACATCTCTAATTTTAAAAACAGATTTGAAATAAAATAATCTGACAACTAAAGTTCTAAAAGTGAATTTCTTAAACTTTACCCACAAAAAAATCCCCAAAATTACACGTTATTATTAAATATTAAATTTTATTATGGGGGGGAAACCTTTATCAGAATATCATTTAACTGAATAAAGCCAGGTTCAGTCTCCACTTTATAAGTGGATGAAGATGTGGCTGATAATCTATGAAGCCTTACAAATCAATTTATTTGAGAATGGATGTGCAATCACACATACAATCATGGCTGGAAAGAACACCTCACTATTTCGTCAAAATTAGGTATTAACAAAGGTTAAACAAGAAAAGGATAATTTAGCTATGGTCATATTGTAATCATTATGTATTTTCTCTAAAGTGTCTTTGACATATTTTAAGTTTTCTTTCCTTATAATACACCAGAAATCAAAATGTAGAAATGTAACTCCAAAGCTGTTCAATGAAAAATAATTAAAAGAAGAAATTACCAACTTCATTGAACTGTTGCAGTTGTCAAAATATTCCATAGATCCTAATGCTGTAAAATATGTAACAACATGTAAACCACAAAAACCTTTTTAACCTTTGAAAAAGCAAAAAAAAAAAAAAAATCACAATTCTTTTGGAAAAGGACGTCAGCATTTGCATTGGGATGTCGTCATATGGATAATTACTGGTTATGTAATTAATCAATGTAAAATAAACAAGTTATATTGAACTTTCAATCTCTGACCTAAACCATGCCCTGTAAAATACAAACTTTCTTTATTTAGCTGTCATATTTAATAAAAAAAACAACAAAAACTGTTTCAACTCTAGGCTATGATCACATTCTTGTTCTACTTTATAGCTTACTAAATTCAAGTACAAATAAGTTTTGCTTCCATGCTGTTTTTAAAAAACAATTGCTATTTACCAATGTCTATCATTATAAAAAATTTAGGTAAGCTATTTGAAATGTTCTAGACAGATTATGCTAAAAGGCAAAATAAATACTTGAATAATTGTGTTGGCTCAAGAAAAGTCTCTCCAAAACTTCCTCATTTAAATGTAAAAGCACTTGATTATTAAAATATATTTGCCCCTGTATCTCTTAGAAAGACTTCATGTATCCCAGGGGTATATGGGATCTAATAATCATAAGATATCATGTTATTTTAATTTTGAAAAAGTTACTGTATAGTTTATTTGCAAAGATGTTAGAAAAAAACACACATACACATACAAAATAAACTAGAGTAAATGCCCATTCCAAAAAGCAAAAACATGAACTGTAAAAAAACCCATCATCATTGTCCAGCAGTGGGGTGAAGTGGTGGGATGGAAAAGGGGTGAAAATTAAAGATAGAAAGAGGTACAGAGGGGCTGGTCATACAATTCTGTTTATTTAATGTTTTAAAATTTTCATATAAGGTTACTGGAAAAATATTTACGTGCTAATAATTTCTCATGCTAATTTACAAAATTGTTCCTTTATAATATTTTCTTTCCCTTTGAAATAGTAATTGATGTTTAATTAGTTCATGTATCAGTGGATATTTTCTATTACTAGGATTTTAATTCTCTCATCATTTAAAATTTTTATAGACGTATGAATTGAGAAACCTTGCTCGCAATACATGAGTAGATGGAAGTACAAAAGGTTGTAGGAATGTCACTCGATACTTTACAGATCTATCTCATTACATACAAGTCACACAGTAATCTAGCCTCAAAAATTATGCTTAATGCTGTTATTAAAAACTAACAACTTGATTAGCCCCTCTTTCCATTTTGTTGAAACCAAAGAACTGGAAACAACCTGGTACACAAGAGGACTTGTTCCCAGTCATCACAGTAATTCACATTGTCAATACCACTGGCTCCATTAATTCAAAATGTTCTCTTTTGTTGGTGCCCAAGAGGATTTTATGAAGACTGAGATTTGGAAATTGATAAGTCTTAAAACTATCAATGCCCCTGTATCTCTTGGAAAAAAAATCCCCATACCCAGGGATATGTTTATCACAGTTTTAAATCACTGTGCAGCATTATTAGATATGTTATTCTAATCTTGGAAAAGTTACAGTAAATATAATAGAAAAACTTAAAAAAAAATAAACTGGACAAAATATATTTACCAAAATTTCTAATGCCTTCACCAAATGAGTTTTGAAAAGCAAACCATGTGGCTTGTTTGAAAAGGGTAGTAATCAGGCCCTGAGATTAGAAAATGATATTTATTTTTCAATAAACTTACCTAGCAAGTTAAAGAATTTACATTCCTTTGAAAACTTTATGAATGAAAATTTCATAAAGTGGCACTGAGTTTTAACATTGGCTAATAAAAATATTAATATAACTATATTGAAGTGCTTTTACAACCTGTTTTTATAACATACTCATGAACTGAATCATATATTATACATTTTAACAAATGAAAATATCACTGTTAAGAAGGACATCTGCCAAAAAATTTAATATAAGAATGACTCATGTAGTCACTGTATTTAATCAGTTATTCTGTGTGTAATTGACTTGATTCCTTTCATAAAGTATGGAGATGTAAAAGCCAATTGAAAATTAAGAGATCACAGAGGAGGAGGCAAAAAGAGATAACTGAAAATGATGTTATAAAATACTCCCAGTTTAATCTTGCCACAGAAAAGACTTTAAAGCTAAATACTTGGGGGATTATAATAAATCTAGTATTTTCATAGATTAAACCCAAAAAATAAAGTAACAGAAAAGTGAATTCCGCTGGCAATAAATGATCTGCTTTCATTTAAACAAAACTTCAAATGCATCAACTGATATACACATGAAGTAAATAAACCAATATAATCCTTTCTTATGAATGTCACCAACTCCAAAGTATCTCATCCATTGTTCCTTGCTCTCCAGAGCCACAAACTGCCTTAAAAATGTGGCTTACAAGCAAGTCTAACAGGTTATTGCTACATGATCAAACTGAGCATTACATACATGTTAACTAAATTTGTCTTGATTTTCATGAAGCATGATTAAATTATTTTTGTGAGAGAGAGGAAGAAAAAAACCGATTTTTTAAATTCAAAAATACTTCTCATAAAAAAAGCTTCTTCAAATGACAAAACTTGAAATTACCACTAGAATAGAGATACATAAACATATAAAACAATGTAACATACTCTTTACCTTTAAAATAAAAAAGCTGAAGTGTGGTAATTATCTTGTAATATATTGTCCTTATTTTCCCACCCTAATGCTCAAGTTATCACAAGACCTAACTTTTAAACTAAAACTAGGTGATATTTTTACCACTGGAAAGAAAAAACTACATAAGGATATTGCTATTTCACTCAAAATAACTGTGCTCCTTTCAAACTTACTTTTCCTCTTTCCTTTAAATCAAACAACCACATTATCATCATCAAGTAAAACAAACTGCATCACAAAGTATTCCTGTAAATTTAGTAGCTACCATACAGAAAAAGAGAGGCAGTGTAGTAGTACCTTTATGGTTTTAATTATGTGCATTTTATGTACAAAATGACATTTCTTTTTATGAAGGTATTTACCTATATAGCTTTGTTTAAAATTTTAAATATGGCGGTTTCCTATAAGTTTAGTAGTTAAGAATTTATGCAACAGGTTCCTTCTGTCCAAATCCTCCTTTTTTTTTTTTCCACAATCTGCTAATCCTTTTGAACATTTGCTCTGCCTCTTCCCCCATTTCCTGAGGATCACCACCAAATCCTACAAGGAAAAAATATCAATACTACAAAATTATGAAATAAAGAGTCTTACTAAAGACTCTACTTAATTTTTTGTGTGTGGGAAGGGTAGTAACATGAGGAAAATATTTTAATAGCACCATTAAAGTCTTGAATTTTGAAAGGAAAAAATAGCTTTATGGTCATCAACTCAAAGAGCTAAAAAAGAGAATTCATATCTAGAAGCCATTGTAAAATATCCACACTTTAGGTACTCAAATGCAAACTCCTCGAGGAGGAGGCCTAGTTCGTTAACAGGCAGTAAGCACACACTGTCTAAAGAATGACTATATGCACCAAGGAAAATTAGATGTGACTTTTAAGGCAATAAATTAAATTTCAGAAAGTAAAATTTAAATTTTACTTGTATAAATTAAAATTCAGAAAGTAAAATTTCTGCTTTTTGGACAACACAACTGGGATAGGTATAGACAAAGATGTCATTAAGAGAAACAGCGAACATCTACATTAAATATGGCAGAGTGAATTACAATGAATAGCAAACAGAAAATCAGGCGATTTAGCTCAAGCCCAATTCTGCTGCTGTTAGAACCTATCAGTTTCAGGTTCCTCACGGCATCTATAATATATCAAGTAAGAGGGCTGGGCTTGAAAACCCTTTTGGCTATGGTTTTATTACCTCAGTTTCAATTACCAATTCATAAATATTATCTGATCATACAACTTGCAGAGATCATACAACATACAGATATTTGTAAGAATTTTGAATTCTTTTTTAAAGCGTCTTAGAAAAGTATTTTAGACTGGGGCAGTCAGTTTTATAAGGAGTGTATCAAGCTTACCCCTCCAAGATTTACATGAACTTCATTTAACATAACAAAATTTGTGAAACACCTTCTTAAAACAAAATAAAAATTCAAAGAAAGTGACCTTAATTAAATATGAACCATACCCCAAAGCCTCATTTCCAACTTTGCCAGTAAATTTAAAATTTTTATAAATTTAAAATCACCGATCAAATTTGTAAATACAAGATGACTCAGTTAAATTTTTGCATTGTTGGACACTGAACCACACGTGTACATATGTTTTAATTCTGTTTCTAAGTTCTCAAATTAACGTGGCTCAATGCATAGCTTATGGCTTCTGAATGAACACAGTAAGTGAAACTAATGAAGTGACAGTGTGGTATGACCAGACATGCATTTCCCACATGCAGCATTTCAATGTGGTATATTAAACCCATGAATCATTAAACAGAAGATGGTTTAACTGCATGTGCAAGGCTTTATTAATCATTTACAAATGTTTTTTCTTGAAAACACTATTGGTGTGCCATGCTAATCTTTCCCATTGTAGGAGTTCTTAAACTGGGATACTCCCAAAAGTTTATATAAAATCATGTTATGTGAACATTTTTTCTGGGAAGACCCAAAAAAGGTTCAGAATCATTCTAATGGTTTTCTCATCAAGCATTAACACATACATTATATTATAATAACTTCCCTTACTTCTAATTTAAGATACTTGCTCAAACCTAACAATTATTGAGACTTTTCACTCACGGTAGTATTTATTGAATTTCACTGTAAGGGCCCATTTACTTGTATAAACCCCACACTATAAAGCAGCGGTTCTCAACCTGTGGGTCGCGACCCCTTTAGGGGTCGAACGACCCTTTCACAGGGGTCGCCTAAGACCATCGGAAAACAAAGATATTTACATTACGATTCATAACAGTAGCAAAATTACAGTTATAGAGTAGCAACGAAAATAATTTTATGGTTGGGGGTCACCACGACATGAGGAACTGTATTAAGGGGTGGCAGCATTAGGAAGGTTGAGAACCGCTGCTATAAAGTGAGCTACCTGAAGGCAGGACTGTGCCTAGCACATATTCATATTATAATTTTCTACAATAAACAAATAGTTTCTTTTACCTCAAACTGACAACTTTCCTCTTATGTAAGGTAATCATGAATAACCAGATGTTACTATGGGCAAAATGAAAATTTCCATAGCTTATTAAAATTAGTTACATTAAAAAATAACACTTGGCTATAATATATATTTCACTAGAATTACAAGGATAGAGTGGGCCAATGCTTACAAAGCATTTATCCTAAAATAACAACTAAACATACATATACTCTTTAGATAGTAGCCTTCTATTTTAAAAGCCTTTTCTCATGAACATATAAAATTCATGAAAGTTAAGAGAGGATTTCTAGTATACAAATTAGATGAATTTTTATTAATTGGGCTAAGAGGATAATTTACATTCAAACATTCTTTGTGTAATCAGGATATCCCATTCTCAGTAACGCATCTGTAAAGCCATTTAGGTTTTTTTTTTGTTTTTTTTCAAGCTTGGAATAGATAGGCACAGATTTACTGAAAAATGTTCTACACATAAACGAAATTTGAAAATAAATGAAATTTGTAATTAGAAATTAAAAATCTAAACAATCTCACGCAATAGCACCATTTTTAAATACTATTTCAAACATTAGAGCTTCCAATTATTAAGGCAAATCAGACATTAAAGAAAAATCAAACCATACAATGTAAACCAAAGCACAATATAACTTAATAATTGGGATAAGTCTTATTTATTTTAGTTATTGATTGAAGTAAAACAAAACAAGTTCAAATGAAAATATCATGATTACAGCTCATGAAAGTATACAGGACTTGAGAATATTCAAGGGTAAATAAATGTACTTTGTCTTAACACAAAGTACTAGAACGCTTGTTCTTACATATGTTGATGACAAACATTAAACAGCAAAATGCTTTTAACTCTGAATCTGTTCATTCTAGAAGAGCCAAAAGGAAGAGGGGAAAAAAAAAAAATCAAAACTTTAAGAAGAAAAACTTCTGTGCCTATGTTCACCAGAGACTTCTTTTTGAATTTCTGCCAGATCTTCAGGTCAAGAGTAACTGTTGAAATTTACAATGAGTCATCTGTTTTAATTTTGCCCTTGAAATTGTATCATTCATTTTGATATAAGTAAACAGCCTAACCTTAAACCACAAGATTATATTTTTAACAAGAAAAGAAAACTTTTTACAGTTCTACATAAACAATCCAAAATTCACCTTTATGCCTTATTTAAAAAAATTTACTAGGTTAAAAGGAAATGTCAACATTTACCTTTATTAATGAAGTCACAACAATTGCTCCAGCATTTACCATAGGATTATGTGGTTTATCTGTAAAATATAAAAGCAATACCATTATTTTAAATACCTGATATAATTTTCTGTGATGCATAGGTACTTCACTTCCCATGAACATATATCTATTTCTTTCTGTAAGCCACTGTTACAGTTCTTTTTTGGGGGAAGGGGGTATGGAGAAATGCATTTAATTAAATCACATATCAAATCAGTAATACACTTCTAGGAAGCTGCTATAATAATTACATATGCAAACAAAGATTTGTGTACAGAAAGGTAGTCAATAGTAGTGTAAGAGCACATCCAAATTTCCTAATTCTGCAATTTACTAGCTATTTGTTCATGGGCAAGTGACTGAACTTTATTGTACCTCCATTTTTCCATCAGTAAACTAAGAGTAATAATAACACCAACACCTCAGTGAGTCATAATGCTTGAACTGATTAAAAGACATGAAATGCTTAGAAAGTACCTGGCACATTCTTAAGCACTAAAATAATATTACTGTTAAACATCGCCTTGGAAAAAGCACATCTAGTGTGAACTCAATTTTGCTTTAAGTGTTTTATTTTTGTGTATATGTATACACACATATAGGTATATACAGGAAAACACTAACACTAACAAGTGATACACATAGTTATAAAAAGATTACAGGGATTTAAAACTCAATTCTCTATGCTATTATTTCCTGACAATAAAGATTTATTTATCTAATTTTAAAAATTACTTAAAATTTAAGTTTATCCAAAATCCTACATCTTCTAATTCTTAAAATAAAGAGAATTTCAAACCTCAACTGATTATATTTTCATTCACAATATGGCACAAATGCCAAACAAAATTCTTAGGGCAATGAAAACATTATTTGAAAACATAATTCCTAAATTATCTGTTTGTGGTAGTGATTAATTTCTTTGGGAACAAGTTCTTATCTAACTTTACAACTCTAGCAGAATTCATTAAGTCATTGCTACATTACTAGCCTCCTTGAATTTTAAGCAAGTTACCTTCTTTGAGTTGAGCTATGGTTAAAAAATTCTGAGCTCTGGAAAATAGCCTGGCAGTTCTTCAAACTGTTAGTTACCATTTGGCCTAGCAATTCCACTCCCAGATATATAACCAAGAGAAATAAAAGCATATGTGCACACAAAAACTTGTACACAAATGTTCACAGCAGCATTATTGATACTACTCAAGTGAAAAACCCAAATGTCCTGTCAACTGATGAGTGAACAAAATGAGGTATTATCCATATAATGAAATATTATTCAGCGATTTAAAAAAAAATGAAGTACTTATACATGTTATAACATGAACACCTTAAAAACATTATGCTAAGTAAATAGGCCAGTCATAAAAGAGCAAATATTATATGACTCCATTTATATAAAATGTCCAGAACAGGTACATCTATAAAGACAAAGTAACTTACTAGTTGCCAGGGGTAGAAGAGAAATGAGTACTGACTAATAATGGGTGCAGGGTATCTTTTTGAGGTGATAAAAGTATCCTAAAATTGACTGTGGTTGCACAACTCTACAAATACACTAAAAGCTACTGAACTGTACAGTTTAAATGGTTGAATTATATGGTATGGAAGTATCTCAAAATGCATATCTCAATAAAGCTGTTAAAATTTTTTTAATTAAAAAAATCAATAAAGACAAAAAATTGGGTAACAAACAGTCTACCAGTTTTCCTCAATATACAAGTAAGATCAACAACGTGACTTAAGGGCCGGCAAAGCGGCTCAGTTGGCTGAGAGTTGACTTAAGAACGCGAGCTCTGAGCAACAGGGCCGCTGGTTCAATTCCCACATGGGCCAGTGACACTGCGCCCGAACTGAGCTGTCACTGAGCTGCTAACAGGTGGCAGGATGACCCAGCTGGTAACAACAAGATTGCCTGTTTGATGGTGGGCTATGCCCATCCACAACTAAGACTGAACTTGACACCTTGAGCTGAGCTGCTGCCCGGATGGCACAGTGGATAGAGCGTGCGCTCTTAACAACAAGGCTGCCGGGTTTGACTCCCCCACGCCCACCTGCAACTAAGATTGAACAAAGCACCTTGAGCTTAGAGGCCATGAGCTGTCAACGGGCGACTGGCGCCCTCCACAACAAAGATTGAAGAACAACAACTTGGTTGGCCCCTTCCCCAATTCCCCAACACTGTTCCCCTTCCCCAAATGTCCAATAAAATCTTAAAAAAAAACCAAATATGACTTAATAGCTTTAAACATTGTACATTTTGGGTTACCCGTTATAATGACTAGTTCCAAAAGCTGAAATAAAACTTAATATGAGTATTACAATCAAGATTTTGCCATTTCAAATTATACTAAGAAAAGTTTGCTTTCTCTGAGATCACACAAAATGAGAGCAGTTATTGTCACAGAAAAATAGTACATGGCAAGAGGGAGCCAAGAAACAAAGTTTCCAATTTTATCCACCTGAAAGAAAAACCACAGGCAGACAGGAAACAGGATAGGAAATTCAGCTGTGCTGAACTAGTTGATATTTGGATTTGTGTAGATATTCATGTATCTGTTATTTCATGGTTTTTTTTGACATTACCAGGTCTAACTCTAGGGCTCCACGAGGCTGCTAATGTGTGTATTCCAAATGGTACCACACAGATGTGGGCATTTAGTATTTTCTGAATCATAAAATATTCAGCAAATACTGCATAAGCTACATTCAAGAAAATCTTTCAAAGAATACTAAAGCATTTCATGGCATGACCGAGCAATTTTTCAGATGTAAGCAACTCCTCACTCACTCTGCCTTTGGCTCAAAAGCCAGACATCTGAACGCTTGGAAACACACCAGAGATATTATAACACCAGCATTTACTGCAGTATAAAACCTCAGTCTAAAACCTATGATTGTAAAAATCTACTTTTATTCTGCTCTGCCCTAAGTAGGAGGGAAGAATTGAAGGGTTTAATTTAGAGATTTTAATTAAAAAATATTTATGACAGCAGTAATGACATTTAAACTAACTACTAAAGGCTGCTATTTAATGCCAAGTATTTTCTTGGTATGATGATAAAATGGACACAGGTGACATCTGAAATTTATGGGCACGATTTTAACCAGAATGCACAAAACTGATTAATTTTATCCAGCTGAAAGAAAAAATACATAAGTATACTTCTCCCAATTATTACTGCAACCACTGAATTCTTGCTTTCTGCATTTCTACCTTAACTCATCATGCAATGAGGAACCCAGCATATACCTGAAAGATTAAAAAACTGAAACCAATCCTTAGGTTGGTTTTTAGATTTAAAACACCAAATCAAAAGTACTAACTACTTTTGTCCTCCCCTTTCTTTTGTATTCCTATTAAGTAATAAGGCTTGTTAGTTGTCCAACTATTTATTTAATGCAAGATGTTTCTTTCAAATATTAAATGTTATGAAATAAAAAGCAAATACACTATCTCAACTAAGGCCACCATTAAAAACTTATTTAAAAAGTTTTCAAATATGTACAATATACAACTACAAAAGTAGAAAGAATATAAAAACCCATGGATCCATCATTTAGCTCTAATAACTACCAACCTACAATACTAATAATCACACCCAGCACTCCCAGCTACACTTCGCTGAATTATTTTAAAGCAATTTCCGGACACTGTGACATTTTACAAGATAATCCCCTATAGGTGGTTATAAAGTGAAAAACCTTACTCCCTGCCCCCATCTTCTCTTTATCCCACTTTCCAGTGGTATGAGATGCCTAAAACAATCATTTTAAAAAGTAGGTGATTACATCACCTCTATGAAAAAATGAAAGTACAAATGCTTTTAATTTTCTTTAAAAAAAAAAATGAAAAAAAATAACTACTTAGATTTACACAAGAAAATAAGGTATTTCTTTTTCCGATCAACTTTTATGTAATTCTTACCATCTTCATTTAAAAACAGTTTGTTGAATCTTAATCCACTTGGCTCTTTCCCAACATATCGATGCACATACTCAGTTCCAAGATCATTAACAGCAATGGCATATTTCAAAGGTTTTACACAGGACTGAAGACAAAATGGAACTTTGGTATCTCCAATAGAATGCCTATTTAAAAGTAGATTTAAAAAATAATTAAGATCAACTGGAAAAAAGTAACTGAATAATTGGAGTTGTTATTTTTCCATGTTAATTCTAATTTACAAAGTTTTCCCCATAACTCAACCACAGGTTTACTTGAATATTAAAAAATAAATGTTTATTTTAAGAGGGCTAGTGAAAATAAAGGCAAAAATTTACAAGTACTCAGGTAACAGAATGATTCAAAATTAGGTAAGTACTATGAAAATTTTCTTCTGAGGGTTAAGAGGGTATGGCCCTCCTTATTCCTCCTATCTGTATTCAATAAGATAAACTAGCCCTTTTAGAAATCAGTCACCGTATTTTTACCCATAGCTTTAATCATGGCTAAACTGTGGTTAATTTTTAAATGGGGCTCAATTTATATTCAATACCATTCTCTGAGACCCTATCTATAAATGCCTCACCTTGTCAACCATATCTGCTCACAATTCAGGCCCCATTAAAAGAAATGGCATAGAATATTATAAACTTGATAGAGCTGGCGCTAATGGCAGTCATTATTACCATGCAGATAACAACAGAACAAAAAGAAAGCTTATATGTTACCAAACTGGCACATAAAGTAGAGAGTAGGTTTGAAAATATAAAAATTCTCACTGACCTCATAATAATGTAAGCTTCACAAGGGCAGAGATCTTTGTATCGCTGAAGTATCCCAAGTGCCCCGAAAAATACCCCAACACGTTACAGGTACTCAATTAATTCACAATGAAACTCATTCATCATAAAACTGAGCACTATTAATAACTACTCCTGGGCAAACTGGTTAACAGAGATGTCAGAGGGCCACCTCACTTCTAGGTATGTTATGGAAAATGAACACATATATTGAACAAGTATAATATTTTCCCTGTTATATTTATGAATACTTTCTAATTCAGGCTGTAACTTCAACTTAACAATGATTCTAAAACCTCACCAAAGCCTGTCATACTATTACCTTTGGATTTAAAAATACATATGGTTCTAGTCCAAAGTCAACTTTTAAAATTCTCTAGATAAGAAAACTAAACTACAAGAATCATTTCTATACCCAAAGAATGTTTAGGAGAAAAACCATGTGCAAGCATTACATGATAGTAATTTCCTCCAGATATAAAAATTTCCATTACATGATAAACCATTTTCTCCAATTACAAAAATAGGACTATCACTCCCTATTGGAATGTGCTTCATAAGGATAAAGCCACATCTTCTCATGTACTTGTGTCTTTTCAGAGTGCCCAACATTTAATTCAACACACAATGAATGTTGAACATATTTTACAACCCCAGAGGAGGACAAAAGCCTGTCATTATGACTAGATGTTTAAAATCTAGTCAAATGCACTAGAAGTTAAGACACCTAGGTGCTGATTTCATGTCTTCCACTATGATATGAACTCTGGGCATCAGATTCCTTTTCTTAAGAATGAATGGGCTAAACTAGGGGTCAGCAAACTGCCACTCGCGAACCACATGCGGCTCTTTGGGTACGTTCCATCTCAAAAGTTGCCGACCCCTGGAAGAGCCAATCCTGTCCTTCACAACAATTCAAAAATTATTTGAGGGTCATAAACATATTTCTACATAACCACCATTATGTGAATAATATCCTGTAAAAATTTTATAAATGAAACTATGATAGTTTTATTTTCATTTTCAATTTTACTTCAGAGCCACAGTTTGCTGACCCCTGGTGACCCTTCTGTCTTAAAAGTTTGCCAACCCCTACGGTAAACTATATTGTTCTTTTAAAGGATAGTAAGTAAAAAATAAAAAGATCAATTAGAATGAAGGCACTTAAGAGAACAAAATTTAACAAATGGGGTAAAGCTTTCATTGGGACTTTATCTTGAAAATTAAAACCTAAATTATAAGGTTAACTGACTTGTAGTAAAATTTATGGTAAAATTACATCTCTGATATAAATTCATCAAGCTGTATACACACAGGAGTTGTATACCTTATTTTATATGTTACATTTTAATTAAAAAATAATTACCTTAGTAAAAACCAAAACAAAACAAAACCCAGAAAGATGTATCTCTGAGCTAAGTCCTCAAATGAGTAAGAATAGATTTTTTTTTGATTGACAAAACCAAATTACAATGTGATAATAAATCTTTATGTCTGACTCACAGCATAACAGTCATTCTTGAAAAAAACATTCCAGAACTTTATCCATTTTCTCCTTAATTCATAGGTTTTAAAAATAAAATCATTTTCTTTGCATTACCCTCACATTATTTTTTTAATTCTACTAGATCCTTGTTTGTTAGTGGCTGTGCCTTCAGTGTGAGCACTTTGCAACTGAATTTTTATTTTACAAATGACTGATGGTTTTCATGGATTTGAAATAAACTTACCTCTGTCCATCTACTGTACAAACAGACACACCCCACAAATCAGGACTGAACTTGGCTAGTTGAGGAATATAATCTGCAACCTAACCAAAATACGGGAAAGAAATGAACAGATATAATATAGGAAAATAATTTCTTCTACCAAAAAATTTATCTCAATTTAGCTTCCACCAATGAATAGTTATTTTATAGTACTTAGTAGCTTGGTAGTCTATCTTTTATAACAACATTCATTAAAACTAAAGGCCCAAATAGACTTGAGAATTACAGGTGAGATCTAAGCAATTTCTCTCAGTCTCCATTCATCCCCTATATTTTCTAATGCATTCTCTCTTCCTAAAAAAACCAGTCTAAAAAAGGAACTAGAACTTGATTTTTTTTCTTTTTAAGGGAAAAAAAAATCAAGAATTTCTTTAATCAGGGTCATGCTGGTAGGGTTCCACTATCTAAAATCTTCCAGTATGAAGAGATAAAATAGCCCTTAGTATTATTTAGAGGGTTTTTAAAACTGGAAACATTTTACTTAATGTTCAAGGATATATCTGCAGAAATTCCCAATAGTTACTTTTTTTATTAAAGATTTAAAAGCCATCACAATCATTTGAAAATCAAAGCGTTCTTAAACTTAGATTTTTTTTAGCCAAAATAACAATTGAAGTTAAACTTTTAAAATATTTTAAAAGCACTTAATTCAATAACTTCATTTAACTTAAATTTCTTAATTAGCAAAACATAAGAACACTACACAATTTTATTCTCTATACTTCAAGTTGACCTGAATTTATTAAGTGATTGGTTTAGGAAAATATTCACATTAAAAACATTACCTTTCCTCCAGACTGCTTTTTAGCACTTTCATATAACTCATCGATATGAGAGGTAAAAGACATAAAGTCAGGAATGACAAACTTTCTTCTAAAGGCTTGTGTCAACAAAACAATGTTGCTTTGAACACATCTGTGAAATGTGAGAAAAAAAAATAGACTGGGTGCCTTTCAAATATTAGTACTTCGTAATAATAATATTAATTAGGAGAATATTTAAACAGTAAAGAAATACATCATTTTATACAACAAACTAAAGTCTATAAATTACATTCTTTCTACGTTGTTTTCTTCAAGCAGCCTTTCATGTAGTTGCTTGTAAGCTGTTGAACAAGTTAAAAAATAAGTTAGATTGCCTAAAATTGTATCAAGAATTAAAATAGCACAGCACTCCACAGGTTAAGTATTAAGACCATCTAAAAACAAATCTCTTAGTCTAACAGAGCTGATAAGCATTCAGCATGACATTTAGTTAACAAAAATCATACTTTAATGTATCATAGTTGAGACGGTTTATTTTTCCATTAAGTAACCTCAGGCATATATCCCTTAGTTCCTATATATATTTATTACTAGTATTTCACAAAAAAAGAACCATCTTGTATTTTACCACATTTTTCCTGAATTGTATTTTGAAAAATTTGCATTTCTAAGCTAAAAAAAGGAGATAAAATCAACTTTGTTTAGTCAGATTAATTTGTCTCAAAATGCTTATTTAAATGCTTGTAAAAATGAGTAATTTTAAAGTAGTATAATTAAATTTACATTATTTGAATCATTAAAAGTGTTTAATCTGCATTATTCCATTAGATATGTAATATATTATAAAATAAAAATATTTCCTTGTTTAAAACTGTAAGATATGGTACGAGGTATGGTCAAACAATATGGTGAATGTTTAAATAAAAAACATTTATTACAGTAAAAGATACATTGCCATTAATCCCCTTCAAAATACTCCCCTTTGCTTTGAACACACTTATATCATCGTTCTTGCCACTTTCTGAAGCAGTTCTGGAAGTCCTCTTTTATGTCTTTAGTTGTGTTGTCATGGCTGCCTCGATGTCCTGAATCATTTTGACCTTGGGGAAGAGCCAGAAGTCTCACAGTGCCAGATCCAGTGAAAAAGGTGGATAAGGATACACCGTAATGTTTTTATTTGACAAGAACTATGTGTGACATGGAACACTGTCATGATGGAGGATTTATGGTACACTTGAAAACACACTTTCTCTCAACCATAGCTCACACCCTATTGACTGCACCAAACAAGTTGAAACTTGTCACATGCTGTTACTAAGGTTTGAGGCACGGCTTCCCGTATTGAAGATCCCTGCTTTCCACTGGATGGCACTCGGCGGCAGCATTCACTGTATTTTGTGGTCACAATGGAAAGAAAGGCTCCATGTCAATCATCGCTTCTGATACTGCAATTTCTGTCAAATAAAAACATTATGGTGTGTCCTCATCCACCTTATTCACCGGATCTGGCACCGTGTGACTTCTGGCTCTTCCCCAAAGTCAAAATGACCATGAAAGGTCAACATTTTTAATTCATTCATCAAGGCAGCCACGACAGCACAACTAAAGACACTCATGAAAGAGGACTTCCAGAACTGCTTCAGAAAGTGGCAAGAACGATGGAATAAGTGTGTTCGAAGCAAGGGGGAGTGTTTTGAGGGGGATTAACGGCAATGTGCCTTTTACTATAATAATTTTATTTAAACATTCACAGTATTTTTTGATCACACCTCAAAAACCATGTGATTGGAGGGCCTAAAATCTAAAGATTTGAATTAATATTCTGCTTTGTTCTAAAAAAGGATTTAAGCCAAAAAAATCAATATATTAATGTAACCTTAAAGAAGAATTTTATAAACAGTTTATACCAACCATATAGTCTAAGCTCTTTATAGAGTCTCAGTAACTCAGTAATAAAATATTTACTTGGTAAAGGAAGACTTGCTAGACGTAAGCATCAAGTCATAATACCAACTTAAGACTAAGCCCTTAAGAGACAAAAACCCAAATGTTTATAGTTGAAGTATTAAAGTAAAACAATTAACTACATATGGGAAGTTATTTATGTAATTGATTCCTCACAGGTAAGTGATGTGACACTATTATTAGCAGCTTCTTTGGGGGAAAAGAAAAAAAAAATTAAATTGACTTTTTTTTTTTAAAGTACTAAGTTTCAAGTACTATTCATTCTGTTTCACCCTCAAAACATAAACACTCTTGAGAAGGATAATTTCCCTACTTTACAAATAAGAAAACTGCAACCTGCAAGTAAATAACTTGTACTAATTACAAATGGAAAAATGAAGAAATAGACACTCTCAGTATTTCCTCTTTATCCATGTTAAATGAGGAAGTTTTACATCTCAATATTTTAATTCAAGTTGTTCTAAAGGAAACATCAACTTAAAATTAAAAGCCAGATTTCACATTTTAACTATTAATAAAAGTTCAGAATATGTACTCACTTGGTCAACATAAAATTAAAACAATGATTTAAAATAGGTTCTTTTCAGTGATAAAGATGTGCCTCAATCACATTGTAATAGATAAGTATGATATCGGGGGTGGAAGAACAGTGGATGGGGGGAAGGGGGTTGTTACTTTGTGAGGGATGAAACGGATAACTATTGCATTGTTCTGTACACTTGAAACTAATAATAATAATAAAAAAAATTTTTTTAAATAAAGTTATAGTCCTAATTTCCATTAACCTATAAACGTAGATATAATTGACATCCAAGAGATAACAAATAATTACTTCAATCAACTTTGATATATTGTTTTCTGATAGCTTCACAATGTTAATCTAAAAAAATATTAAGTTTTGCAATTGATTTAATATTTAATATGTTTCAAAGAGCAATTCAATTTGTACATTAGATTTGCAAGTATACCAAATAATTTCTCAGCATAAAAAAGTTAAGACAATTCCTGATCTTAAATCACTGTACCTATATCAAATCAAATCTACATCCTTATTTTTCAAGAAGTTACACACGAGAAAATGAAGACTGCCAAACAAACTTAAATTATTAACCTACTACTATTTAAAATTAATCAGCACTTTTAAAAGGAGGTTTATAATTAAAACTGTATAGTCAGTGAAACTGTTTTGGTTTTTTTTCCTCTATCAGAAGATGGTGGTAAAGCTGTGGTAACAGCCTTAACTGGGAATTACTGTGGCCAACAAAAGTAATCTTACCACTCAGAAGAGTGTCTAACTGCACAATGATGAGCATTTCAAATAGTAAATGTTTCTCTTGGGAGCTATTTTAATACAGCTGGCATGAATGTAGAAAATTAGAAGTCATACAATGAGCTCTGAGGAGGAAGTTCTTATACATTTCAGCAAGTCACATCTTTCTCATGCTTTGTTCTCATCTGTAAACTGGGAATAATAATAATTTTTCTTTCCTTCTTTACGTGTTTATGATTTACAACTGTAATGTATGTTAATATTTAACAAAATATCTCACATAATTTTTCATTAGTAAAATAATCCTGATGACTTTTTAAAGAAAATCAAACAATATACAAAATGCAAAGACTACCATTCATTTTCCCCTCAAACAGAAAAGACCAAAAAATTATGTTCACACTTAAAAAGAGTTCTAATACTAAAATTGTTAAAAATGCATGAATAAATGTGGAATTCATTTTCAACACAAATTTTCTATTTCTATTAGTTTTAAGGATTATTAGCATTAAAAACAATTGACTATCTAGATGGGTATAGGCAGTCACCAAGTTTCCAACAGATTATGCTCCAACAGTACATTTAGAATTGACTTTCTCATTAAAAAAAAAGTCATATATAATAGGTGTTTCTCAAATTACCCTCAAAGGCTAATTATATTAACCGACAATATTATTTTAGGTAACATAGCAACACATTGCCTTCAACCAAATTTATAACCTTTATAAATTATTTCTCTGGAAAAATGAATTCCATTGTAACATCTTCCCGCCTGCATGGAGCTCACATAATTTTATTTCTGGCAACACTAACTAGAAAACTTCTTATTTTGAAAACAGGAGTAACTCTGCAGCAATCACCTTTCCAGGTGGCCTGAAAAGGTTAATACTCAGAGGTTTTTAAATCACCTCATTCTAAAGATGGAAAGAGAAATCCTTATGCCTATGGTCTTAGACTTTTCTACTGCCTTCTCACATATACCACTAAGCATTTGTCAAGTTGGGAGCTGCCTATATTACAATTATCAATTTTTTAAAGATTAGATTAGTGTTTAAAATGATGGTAGTTGTTATTTTTTATAAATTATGGTTAGAAAACTTGATCATTGTGTCCTGGATTTATAATCAATGTATTTAAATTACTTTTAATTTCATATTTAAACATAGCAACATGTTTATAAAGCACCAAAAATTTTGAACAGTACTAAAAAAGTGTAAAATGCTGCTTTCACTTAAAACTCCAAAGCAATTCCTCATATCTATTATGTCATACCCAGATCTACCAACCATCTCTTGACAACTTCATTCTCAGATATGCCAAAGTAACTCCCAGAAGGTGCTACAATGAAGAGTACTTTCACAGGTAGCTCATGAACATTAAAAATAAAATAATCCTTACTGCAAGGTACAGCTAACTAAAAATGATTTCCTTCCCTCCACAAAGAAACAGGTTCTAAAGACTCAAAATTCCCAACACCAATTCCAACATGGACCTAAAATCTACACTTTATAAAGTCAGCTGAGTTAATAGAATCAAGAACCTTGTGGTGAAAAGATAATCCCAAACTGTCAGCAGTGCTTCACAGCATGCCAGGGAGCTTTGGAAATCTCAATTAAATGCTTCTACTTTCAGATGACTTAAAAGTGCAGCATATTTCCAGGAGATATCTAGAATAAATCATCCAGCCCTCAAAAGATAAAATAAAAATACATAAATACATACATACAAATCAACTTTCGAGGTAGATGCTGGAATTCTTTGGATCTATTTCAACTTAAACCTATGGTCTGAAAAAAACCAGTGTCTTACAGTAGTGTTTACAGTTTTACACTAGTTTTCACTTTATTAGTAGTTTAAAATACCATTTACCTCTTTGGGATCTATTTCAAAAAACGCTGTACATTAAATCATTAAGTAATCAGACTAGTAGGAACATGTTAATAAAGATAAATAAACGGATAGGAAATATAGGACAGTCAAAAATAAATATTCTTATTCAACCAAATCAAGGCATTAATCTCCAAAGTTGTCTTTAGTTTTTAAATATTTTGAGGAAAATTAAAAGTCAAAAACCTATGTATTAATAGGCCTGAAGAGAGGAGAGAAGCATACAATGGAGATATGAAAACAAAAGGAATACAGGCTGTCTGAAACCTTCTCATTTTATGATATCATCTAAACCAGTTTGTAGGAAAGAAACAGAGACCATGGCGAGAAAGCCTGCAAGACATTCAGTGAATTGGAGATCAATTTAAGCCATGACAGGACAATGGGTGTGCTCTATGTAAAATGAATGCAATCTCCAGGTACTGGATTGGAAACATCCATGGCTACATTTCCTTAGAGTAGTTTCAAAGGAAGTATACAATAGCTCCAATGTATTATAGAACCTTAATGTGCACCAAGTTCTTCAAACAGTTGTTTAGTTTATAAACTCCCCCCACCGCGCCCTTTTTTCAGTTACACAGAAGTACTGGCCTTCAAAGACACAATTTTGTTGTAAAAGAAAAATCACCATATAGCATAGCAATCACCATTAAACGTTTGGCAGAAATTTTTACTTTTTAAAAAGATCTTTGTCTAGCATGACACCATCTGATGTTGTTTGAAGAGTTAATCTTAACATATCCATACACTCTTTCAACCTGGGATCAGACGTTCGCAATCCTGTAGATTTGAGTGCCTGTTTTTAAAAAAATAAGAGTTTGTAAATATATAGTGCAAATAATGTATATGCTTATTCCAACTACAAGCTTTAATTCCTGTATATAAAAACTTCTATCCAGGACCTGAATATGTGTATGGCATTTTAGTGTCACTATTACCCACTTTCTGGACAAGTTTCTCACTCTTTCATTTTCTTTCACTGATTACCTTGAAATGAGCATGATGAAAATTTGAAAACATAATAAGAGAAACAGTGTCAGTCAGAATCTACATATCAGGTGACCTTTAAGACTACATTTAAATATTATTGTATTACTGATTCAGCTATTACTGATTTTTTAAGTTTACGATAGAAAAATATAAAAACTTACTGTAATAAATTTATGAACAGGTATTTTCTCTTGTCCTTCTGCAATTGTATAGAACAGCAAATCTTCCAAGCTAGGTAATAGACCCTGTTTGATTTTACTGAAGAGGGAAAAAGAAGACAAAATTAATCCTTGTGTGTACATTTTAATGAATTTTAGCTATATCCATTATAAATAATCATTGAACCAGGCTACAGCTAAACTGATCTACTCATCAAAACTACTGTCACATTAAATGATAATTTACCCAAATCAAACCAGTATTACTGAAACCACACTGAAAAACAAGCAAATAATGATTCATTAATGAATAGATATTTTTTAATCCCAGGTTTTGAAATCTTGATCACTATTTCTAGTTGTGCTAATACCTGGCTATCTATTATGGTGGTACCTTCCTGTACAGGTTAATACAGGTCAATACTAATTATAGAGCTCAGCAAACATTCAGATGAGAATCAATATTTTATTCTTTTTTGTTTTTTAAATATGATGCCTGTATTTATATATTATTCAAATAATTAACCTGATTGTAAAATCTAGGGGAGACAGCATTTAAGAAGTACTGGACAGTAAAGACTAGCATACAAGTTCTTGAATCCTGGCAATAATACTTAACTTTGTCACCTTGTGTAAAGTCACCTGTGATTCAGTTTCCTCATCTGAGAAATGGTGATAATAGTGCCTATCTCACAGGGTTATTGTAAGGAACAGTTGACTCAATACATTCAATACTTTTAGAACACTGCCTGGCAGAGAGCAAGTAGTCAACTGATGGTAGCTGTAGCTATTATTTCTAAAATGATCTAGGCTTACATATACAGATGAAATGCCACAAATCACAAACATGTAGAATGAAAATACATTAAAATCTTAATTAACTAATAAACTAATATAGTAAAATGCAATGATTAACCAAACTTTTAAACAAGAAAGGAAGTTTTTCCTATCCATTGGAAATCTTTCATGTAAATAAACTACAATTAACCTATTAAATATCATCTTTTTGGCTCTGAAACTGAAATGAACACATTTCATTATTCTGTTCATTAATTACTGTCTTAAGCATTACAGTGATGTTATAAGGATTACAGATCTAAGGCAAACAAAACCCCTCCCCACCCATCACTATTTATTAAAACAGGAAAGGGAAATATATGTGTGCATCTGTATATATGTGTGTATATGTATAAAATATTCTAGAAAGAACTTTACCTATATTTCAAGAAAGGAAGAGAGAAAATTAAAAAGAAAGAAGGAGGTAATACTTGTTTTCTTAAATTCAGACCTTAATATTAAGTCAATTCTGAACTAGCCATAGGTATAACGGCAACCTTCAAAGGAAAACTGTATAATTATTTTTGTAAAATAAACTGTCACACAGCATAAGTCTATTTAAAATTGTTTTTATACTGTTACAAAGAGCTTTTCTAGGTGTCCAAACATTTCCTGGATTACCTGAAGATTACATAATAGCTCCATACTTTAATAAGACCAAATGGATTTAGCTATTTCCTAATATAATTACTTCCCTCGCTATTATTAGTGGTCCATACATTCCTATCTTAAAAGACAGAAGAATATGAAGTTGCATACATTTATATATGCAAATATGAAATGTCTCCTAAAAGAAATATTAATGACATATTCTGATATATAAATTATTCCCTGAAACTACTTTGGGAATTTTTAAAAATGTATTTGGGATATTTTTAAAATAAGAGATAAAATTTATCAGTCACTTCTAAACACTCTGCTAAGTGTTTTTCATGCATTGTAATTTAACCCCTCCTATGATCTTATAACACAAGGTACTATTATTATCCAAAATATAGTATGGTTCCTGGTATATAGTAAGCTCAATAAATTTATTATTTGTTAAAAAGGATGAAGGACTTTATCCCCATTTCACAGATGAGGAAACTAAGGCTCAGACAAATGAGACTTCCCAAGACTGCACAGTGGCAGATATGGATTTAGAACCCTGTTTCTCTGAACCCAGAGTTCAAACCATTTACCCCTACAATATAATGGCTCTCAAACTTACAAGGTAAGTTATTGTTACAAGGTACAATTTTTCTTGGTCTTACCGTGATCTAAAACCATTAAACAGTGTTCAACAATACTAATGAGTTAATATTTAAAGAAAAAAAAATTGAACCAGCTGTCAAAAAAATGAGTGGAAAATAACATACCAATTATTTACAGAAAATCACTTGTCAAACTTCAGATAGTGGTAGTTTATCGCTTTAAAAAACTGCAGAATAAGCTTTCTATGTATTTATCACACCAGTAAATGGTATTTGCTTTGCCTAAAAGCTATGTAAATAACATAAAATATGTATACACTTATTTAACCTATGGTACACAGTGCAAAATTTAAAGAGACCATGTTATTTCCAGATAGCAAAAAAAGGTAAATATTTACCTGCTTTTGGACAAGAGACTAATTTTTATCCATAGAACGATTTAGTCATCTCTAAAAAATATGCTCACAAAACAAATGGTCTAAATTGGTAAGAAAGTACTACCTAAATTAGCATTTAAAAGCTCAGACTCTGATCTGAGAATAAGTTAGCTTCAACAGTCTGGTGAACAAACACTTAAGAGTTTCTCCCCAAACTTTCAAACAGGTAGAAATTACTCCAAAGATCTTTCTTGATATCAGCCCTCTTTTAATCCCCAAATTGAATATGGCATTTTGGTAATGCTTCACAGTAAGGTATTTTGCTATTAAAATTCAAAAGCTAAAACTTTAGTTTTCAGTAACTAGATATCCTTCAGAAGTATTTAAGTTTTAATGATAAAAAATAGATTATAGCAGGCTTTCAAATTGTAACATCAGCAATTATTAATAAACCCGAGTGAGCCCTCTAGATTCCTTAGGGAAAAGCATAAAATGGCTATGACACTCAGCCACTAAAATATGATACACATAGATTAATAAACCCAAAGAAAAATCCTTGTTTCATACTTTTTGTTCCTTTCCTTTTAGTCTCTCCCTCATTTCCTAATTTCTGCCTTTAAGATCCTTTCACCATCATTTTGTTCCTTTCTTTGTCCATTCCTTCCTCTACTCTCTCTACTCACACAAAATACCTGCCTAAAAAACAGAAATGATTTCTTAAAACAATGTTTTCCAATTCCCACGTATTTAGATGCTATGACACGTATAACATTGTTAGTCACTGCTTACAATATAAAAGGGAACTAGAACATATATGTAATGAGGAATTACAAGAAAGGAACTATGGGATCCAATCACTGAAAAATTACTTCACTGTGGGCTAATAAGGTAAAGGTTTTTTTGGAGGGGTGGAGTTTGAGCTAGGCTTGAAAGATGGGTAGGAGCTGGAAACACAGCAACAAAAGGGGATGGATTTTGGGCAAAGAAAATAGAATGACCAAAGCAGTGAAAGCAAGCATTCACTGGGTGCTTGTAAAGAATAGAAAACAACTAGAGCATAGGATATATGAATTGAGGCTCCTGTTTCTACCTACAGCTATTAAAACATCTAATTTTCAGGGTTGAGAGAAATCTACATAAGTAAGCCAGTAAATGAGAAAACTACCTCCCCAAATTTGCATATGGAGTTTAAAGTCAGGGCCAATTTCCTCAACATGAAAAGAAGCACTATCTTTATTTACTCACCAACCAATTTTCTAATACAAAAGAACAATTAAACTCCTCAATCTGGTATTCGGTTCTCTATAATTTGGCTTTGTACTATCTACTCTTATCACATCTAATTTCACCAGCGTAATTGACTAGACTCACTGACCTGTAAGTAAATCCTTCTATCTCATTCTTGTATTTTACCAAATATGCCTTCTATTTATAACCCTCTTCTTTCTATACCTTTAAGGTATCAATGATCATTCCAATGGTTTCAGAGGGTTTTCCCAACCAGATTCGGTATACCCCTACTGGCTGCATCACTAAATTCTGTACCATATTTGCCGGCGTATAAGACGACTGGGCGTATAAGACGACCCCCTAACATTTCCACTCAAAATACAGAGTTTGTTATATACTCGCCGTATAAGACTACCCCCTCTTCCGCACACCTTCCACACACCAAATAAAAGGTAAAACAATATCAGATTTGATTTGGCCCACTGAAGTGCAAACAAGCGTATTGTATTTCGTGTCACCACATAACCGTTTTGGCGATGTTGAGCCACCATGTCTGCTACATGTTTTTTGAGTTCTGGCCAGTGTGGGGTGCCTCTTCTTAATGCACACTTACCCCTTGGCATACTCTTTAATGCTTTCTCATTTGATTTCCAGTCCCGAACCATCTTTTCTGTTACTCCATATTGTCTTGCAGCAGCACAATTATTATTTTCCTTAGCAAAGTTTATAACTTTCAGTTTAAAATTTGCATCATACTTCTTTCTTTTGGCTGGTGCCATGATAGGGATGATAGGGGTTTGACTGGTCGACATTTTCTATGCTGTACTGTACAATGGTGCAGTATTGTGGTTGGCTGTTGGCTGTATACAAAGCCTGATTTGATTGGTCCCTGCTCCCTGTTTGCCCGCCCTGTCACTATAGCAGTCTGGTCCACCCTTGCATCAGCATCTCCCTGGGACCTCACTAGTGCGCAAGTGCGAGCTCTTCAACATTCTAACAGGCACCATGATAGCGCAAAATCGCGAATCTTCAATGCATATGTAAAGAAATATACGGTAACCCGAATTTACCACACTCGCAAAATCGCATAACAGCCAAGCATACACCCAGCAGCGCTGCTGATGCCTGAACGGTATGTGGAATGAAGTGGGCGGGCATCGGGAGGCCACTATGGCACGGGGCAAGCACTATGGGCAGTCTATCTGAAGTGTACCTGGCGTATAAGACGACCCCCCACTTGGAGGCATATTTTTCAGGGCCAAAAAATCGTCTTATACGCCGGCAAATACGGTATACTGCCTTCTTTTGTTAAATAATGTTTCATATTACCTTACCTCTCCAAACTATAAACCTTCAAGATTGGGGTAAATCAATTCTTAATTTTTTTTTGGGGGGGGGGGGGAGACACAACCCCATGTAGCTCAAATGCATAGTATAGCGTGGTAAACCTATCACATAATCAA